ATTCTTTCTTAACCTTTTAAAAGCGTATAAAATGTACTTGGTACATAACATATTGCCATTGGCTGTTTTTTAATTTCCCGCATCCATACTTACTTATAAGTACCTATATTAAGGTAGGATGCTCTTCCCCAAAAGCCAATCAAAAGGCTATACACTTTCACTAATTGTGACTTAGAGTTTACCTCTCACAAAATGTATAATTATGTGTAACCTATTTCGAACTTAAGTTCTTAGTACATAATACTTACTTAATACTCAAGAATACACTTTGAGTGTTCATAAAACCCCTGAATCCGGTTTTATACATCAGGACGCGGTATAGAAAAAAACGTATACTAAAGTGTTAACTTTCATAGACTAGTCATATGCACGGTTTCTGAACTGACTCTTCATGCTTCATGCATTAAAATTCATGCTTGAATAGAGCTAAAAATCGCAATTCAGAAATCGGACCATAGAGTTTACCTATCACAAAATTGTTAAATACACTTAACCTATTTCAAAATACGAGATCAATATCTTAGGTAACTACTTAGTAGTACTCAATAGGCAAATGGTTTTTAAAATACCCTTATTATGCGCGGATCACCAAAAACCGCTACATAGATATTAAAGGAATAAATAAATTTTACAGACTAATTTATAGTCAAAGAGCTAACCTCTCATAAAATTCTAAAATATCTTAACCTATTTAATAATACGAGATCACAACACTTAATAACACATACTGACTGTTTAAATTATTAAAATCCCTCCATCCGTTTTTATACATAAGGATGTTTCGCCAAAAAAAAATATTATTAAAGAACTAATTTTCACAGAGCGTTTACATCTCACATAATTCTTAAATTACTTAACCTATTTAAATATACGAGATCACAATACTTAGGTACTTAGTACACAATAGACACTGAATGTTTCAATGGCCTCACCCGATTAAATTTGATGAGTTTCGCCAAAATTACTTAAATAGTTAATTATCACACACTAATCATTATAGTCATAGTTTATTTTTCACAATTTTCTTAACTTGTTCCAAAACACGAGATCACAATTTAGATATTTAGGCGGGATTTGTATTGGGATACGATTTGCCAAAAGAGCTTATGATAAAAACACACTACACACGAATTACTATAGTCATAGAGATAAACCTCATACAAAAATATTATAATATTCTTAAGCTATTCAAAAATACGAGATCGCACTTGGGTTATTGAGCCTTTGGCTGTCGTTAGTAAATAGTTTATTATGCCATTATAATAAATAAAAAAAATAAAGGCCGAATAATTTGTAAAATCACAAAATGAGGACGATAACGAATCATGAACCAGAACATAAAACAAAAGTAAAATAATAATTACCTACATTCAGCCAAAGGTCAATAAGAAATAGGTTAAAATTATTTTTCACGGGCGAATAAGAGATCATATTTAAGTTCTTATTCTTAGGCTGAGTTGCACCACCTAACTTTGACCGTAACTATCAACGATAATCGGTGTTTTTGTATGGCGCTACAGAGAATGGGCAGCAGCGCTCTCTGAAAAACATCAATCTTTTAAACTGCGATCTCCAACCCGCCTGCCAAGCGTGGAGATTATGGCAAAACCCTCCACTATAGTGGAGGAGGCTCATAGTCCAGCAGTGGACTGTAAAGGGCTGTTGATGATGATGATGATGATGCAACCCAACCATATCATAAAGTTGTTAATTTGATCATTTCTAACAGGCGCGCGTGGAATTCGGTACATTAGGATGTGTTGCGCTAAAACATGTGAGGCAGAGATGTGGTTGCGAAGGGCACGCAGGGCAGTAAGTCATCACTTTCTGCGTATAGTTCACGGCGAGGCGGCTTCCCACTGCGCGAACGTTCATCTTGTAGCATCCCTGACAGAACCTCCGTGTTAAATGTATCTTTCCAGTCTTAGTTGCCAGACGGTGTTCCGGTTTCTTCAGTATGAGGAATCTTACTGGTACAAATTGTTGCTGTCGAGCGTACATCGGGAATACTTTCGGCATGTATGGAACATTCGGCACCTTATAAGGCACAGTGTTGGCTATAGTTGTTCTGAAACGAACTGATAAAACCGCATGTTAGTCATTCATAGACATAGCTTATACATACTTTTTTTAGTATACAGTCACATGCAGACTTCAGCGAGTTAACTACAGGACACAAAAGCCTGCTTACATATGACAAGCGCATGCGTTTATACACTCGGCATCAAATAAATCGCACCTCCCGCGACAAGCACTTATCAAACGTATGATGCAATATGCATCCCCACTTCCCACCAACATTGGTACCATTTGAAAGCCTAGTTCTAAACTTCATTTCATTAAAGGAAAGGTTTTTACCCCAAAAATGTGCCTTAACAAGGATCCAGAGTCACTTCTTCAAAAAATAGGTAGTTACGCTATGGCCATTTTTTATGACTATAAAACTGTTAAGTTGAGATTAATCGCTATCCATCTGTTAAAGAGGACACGTGAGATCTTTATTTGGTTTTATAACCATAAAAATTGGTCTAATTGATCCCAGAAGTGAGCCCAAAGTGAGGTCTATTTTCAAGTCACATTTATGGTATATGTTATCTCATTAATTTAGAAATTAAATGTATTTTTCTTTCAGGATATTTATTGGGCTTTCAAATAACACCAATATTGTTGGGGTACCATGATTGTGTCAGAAGAAAATCTTTAAAGTTCGCGTCGCGGAAGGTGCGGTTTATTTGATGTTGAGTGTAGTTGCTATGTAAGTTGAAAATGCATATTTACTAATAGTACCTATTACTAGGTACCTAGCCGTTGTATATTTTACGAATGAATTAAACAAAAAACACAATATATAAATGTATTTTATTTTATTATCTGTTATCAAAATTAAAGGTCATTTAGATAATAATTTGTAAATAATTTCATGAGGTTCATAGTTTTTGAATAAACGCCTAGCACAGAAAGGGAAGCCAATGAAATCCGAGGATTTTTAGTCTCGTTATTTCACGACTAATGGTTATGCACCACCCGGTAACTGATAACCATGTCTCTTCACGTAGTGATGGCCGCTCGACAGCCGCTTCCCCACTTGATGCAACGCCAGATTTTCCTCAGTGTTCCCCGTTTCTTCAAGGAGAATCGGTTTCCACCACATAGCAAGATCTTATTGCCGCGAGTGGATTCTCCGAAATGATACGAGATATACCCATTTATAAAACCTGAAATAAATATATTAAGCATTAAGCTTTTATATAAATCTTATCTGTTTGGATTTATAACTTACACATAAAATACTTTGGGTCACTGTTCTCAATTATGAAGTTGCAAGCTTAAAATTAATCTTGATCTTCATTAAAATATTATTGTACAAAATCATCTAACAACGAACATGTGAGGATAATAGGTTCTGTATTAGGTATATGATTTAATTATACTAGTTCCAATGATTGAGATGGTATGAATTCAAGATTCTACCTACTTATGTATTTAGCTAAAGAGTCGAAAAGTCCGACACCTTCACCGTTTGACTGTTTGACTTTCCCCCGGGACAAACTTGACCTTCACTGGTTGAGTTTTTATTGGCCAAGCCGTAGATCCTGGTTATAGAGGAGTTGCGGCGGTGGGAACGAGTTAATAGTGTCAATGTCAATCACAATGTCAATGACAATGACACAAATTATAAAACAACACGATTTCAAAGATGTAATCAATTCGACACCAAATTCAAAATTGTATCACTACATAATATTATACACCTACTCTTAATAATAAATAATATAATTAATAAAATTACCTCTAATAGTGTTTTCATTTGACTGTATACTTTACAATATCTGTAAATTCGGTTAACGAAGGCAAACAAGCAAAAACAATAGGAATAACAAAGTGCAGAAACCAGCGAAACGAATTTTTCAATTCTTCAATTAAATGTGGTAAAAAAAGTCAATGATTGTGTACATTATAAGAGTGTACAATGACGTCATCGACAGTTTTGATGCAGGCTTTGCACTTGACGTTGCTCGAGCACACCCATCTGAGCCTGCACCCTCGGCTCGTGTACTTGTGGCGGGTGAACGTGAAGTCTCCCATACGGAGCATACGTTTCCCCCGCCGGGAGGTGACGAATCTTGCTCGGTGGTATTCTGTAAAATACATTTTTATTTTTTTATTTTATTTNATATAGATTTTATTTGGGATAACAAACAATTGCGCAATATTGCGAATACAACTGCTGAACATAAATAAACTTATACTATTACACAACCAGCACCATTATCCTCATAGTAATATTACCAACTTATTTTGGTACAAGCAAACCAAGCGAACAAACAGTGTTATAATTGCTTTAACTTAATGTGAAAAGAAAAAAAAACAAATACAGTTAAGGAATGTACGTTAATACATCAAGGATGCACTTTCTGAACTTTGAGGGAGACACTACAAATAAATCGATATCAGTAAAATATTTGTTGTATGCATCCATTAAACGCCATAAAGGAGCTCTTTTGCCAGCGTTAGTTCGACAGCATCGTTTAGGAGATTTCCAAACATCATCATCATTTCAGCCATAGGACGTCCACTGCTGAACATAGGCCTCCCCAATGCTTTCCATGTCGCCCGGTAATGGTAGCGGCCTGCGTCCAGCGCCTTCCTGCTACCTTTATAATGTAGTCGTCCACCTTGTAGGTGGACCGACGCCATACAAACATAAAAATATTTAATATGGACTGATATCGATCGACTTGATTTATTTATTGTCAAGTTCAAGAAAGTTTTATAGAAAGTTGTCATATTTAATGCAAAATAGAATAAATAGGTAAAGAGGGTTTTTTTTAGTATAATCTGTTGGAGCGGTCTCTACAACACAAGATCAAGCTACATTTGGACGTGTAAAAGCGCTTTAAGCCTGTTTAGAGAAAAATAATTACTATCATGAAATAAAAAGAGGTTCATTTGAAATTATAAAAATATTATAATATTATAAATATATTTTTGAAGGACATTTTCCAAAATGTTACATGTTTAATCATGACAGTGTTCATTATTTCAATACACGATGGAGTTGTCAATGGTTCTGACGGAGGCTTTGCAATATTTTATTAGACGAGCACGCCATCATGGTCACCGCGTTTGGAAGTTACGAACTCTGCTACTTCAAACATATCCACTAAAAATTATTATTGTGTCAAGACTAAAATAATAATACAATTATAATACGAGTATGTACCAATTACTTTTTCAGTCCACTCCTCGATTAGTCATGTGTGTGAACATCATTAAATGTTATGATTTGGTCGTCTATGGTTACGATTTCGGAGCGGCAGCCTTCTTTGGACAGCTTGATGCAGCGCCAACGCTTCTTCGGGCTTCGCTTGTTGACCTCATTCTTCAGGCAGTATCTGAACTTGCCCCAGACGATCATTGGATTGCCGAACTTGGATGTCACAAAGCGCAATCCTTGAATGTAAAATAAAATATAGGTAAATTATTAAAGCCACCATAGCCGAGGTGAAGGGGTCGGACTGGCCAACTCGACATTCGCGGAACGCGGCTTCCAATTACGCGACCGCTCGACTATTGTGGTGAGCCCACTCGTGACACATGCATATTTATTTTATATAGTTTTGACGCAGTGTGAAAATATCGTGAAAAATAAAATATGAAGAAATACACGAAATATTAATCTATATGCCGATTTTTCAACAATAATAAATTGATGTGTATCGTGTTTCAGGTAAGTTATTATGGTGGTCTTGCAATATCCAGACCCAATCCAATACCCAGTTTTGATTCCAATATGACTCAAAATTTGATTTGAATAGTATAGTATTTGAAAAACTTAATAGATTCTAGCACGCTTTGTAAGTATATTCTGCAACTAATCAGAAAATGTTCTTCATGAAATGAACAAAGAAAAACATTCGATTTCAAATTTTAAAAATACTTTACTTAAAACAAACAGTAAAAATTCAACAATCAAGTTGTCTAAAGACTTTTAGACCTTTATTCTCACTCTGAAGTCCAAAGTAAATATATTTTATAATATACGCGTTTTTAAGTAATACGTTCTATGAGTAATTTCGTTGTGTCGCCACCAGTGGAACCACAATCATTTATTGTAAACTCCGTCAGTTTATAATATGACGCGTGAGATTGTAAACTAAAACTGGTTAGGTAAGATTGTAATCTAAGTAAAATTTATAATATGCCGAAATTCACAATTTTACGTCGACATAATGTAAATCGTATAGAATTATTTCAGTGGTTATGGTTATCGTTATATTTAACGATAATGTCTTCCAGGGTAAAGATGACGGCTTTACACCCGATGGCAGTGCTGCTGCACACCCATCTGCTTTTGGGTCCTCTTGTAGAGGGCTTGTGAAGGCAGAAGTTGTATTTCCCTATGTTGATCATACGGTTCCCGCGTCTTGATGTCACAAACTTTGCATGCCCATAATCTGCAAAAATAAACGGAAAGGGTATTATTAAAAGATCACTAACACTTTCTATAAATTGTAAAGACAATTGAATCAGGCTAAAAACCAAAATTTTGTACTTTTCACAAATACCTATAGTCCGGTCACCGAGCACGTAAAATTTCGTCCAATGACCCCAAGCTACAACCTACAATCCTTATCGCTCGCGCGTAATTATATTGCTGTCGCGCTCGCACACATAAGGATAGGTAGCTTGGGGTCATTGGACGAAATTCTACGTGCTCGGCGACCAGACTTTACATACTAACAACTGACATAACAGGTAAGACTATTCCACTCCAATGTACACTGTCTCTAGCTGGGCAATTAAAAAGTTGTTACCAATGATTAGGTCAAACAGGTAAGGCGTAAAAAATACATGCTACAGATAAAACCATATTCATATTGGTTTTATTGAGAGTGACAGCAAAATTTACTTTGTACGTCTGTACGTACCTGTGCACATAAGACAACCCGGTCGAGTTAACTGCGCACTTAACGACCGTGACGTCACATCAACGCTCTGGTACAAAACGGGGTGAATGTAGGGAGGTGCGCGGGTAAGTGCGAGGAAGAGTTGCATTCAGAGAGATGCGCAGTTAGCTGGATCGTGTTGTACGCACCAACGCTACGGATAAAACTATATTCATCTGACATCAAATATTACAACAAGCTAGTTTAAATCATCATAGCAAAGTTGAAAATATTTATATTATTCAATTGCATGCAGTAAGCAAAACTCATACTGTCATATTTACTTTCTCTGTAAAATTAATGGTTGTGAAGATCGATGTGCTTCCTGATGTAGTCGTCGTAGGTGACCACCGTCGCCCGGCACCGGGACTTGGTGCTGGTGCAGACCCACTTCTTCTTCAGCCCCTTCGAGGAATGCTTGTGCAAACTGTATTTGTGCTTTCCGATTCTGAGCATTCGGTTGCCTCGATTTGATCTGATGTATACTGCATCTATAAATTATAACCAGAGTAACATAATTTAAAGAAATGTACTCGTAGAATAAAGGTTGCAACTTAGCAACTCGGAAAGGGATCAACCAACACGGTATCGCCAATTCACCCCAAGGCGAAGCGTTTACATTACGGTTCAACAGATAATTCTTTGAGCGCTCATACCTTACATTCTTTGTCCAAAGCGATGTGAGGAGGTTAAATAGACAGATATTATGGCCGCTTTAGTTTTGAATATGAAAAACGATCTACCACTTAANAGTGCTGGTGCAAACCCACTTCTTCTTCAGCCCCTTCGAGGAATGCTTGTGCAAACTGTATTTGTGCTTTCCTATTCTGAGCATTCGGTTGCCTCGGTTCGATCTGATGTACACTGCATCTATAAATCATAACCAAAGTAACAGAAATGTACTCATATAATAAAGGTCACACACTTATAAACTCCAACCAACAAGACAGACACAAGTACAAGCAGAGGGGTTTACATACATATTTTTTCTTAAATGTTTTAAACCCGAAATAAATAAATAAACTATTCCCACCTCTCGTACCCACCACTGCAACTCCTGTGTAGCCAGGATCTACAGCTTGACCGTCATAAAAACCCAACCAATGAAGGTCAAGTTTGTCTCGGGGGAAAGTTAAACTGTCATTGGACCCGCAACGAAATTAATCAGAACATAGAAGGAGTGTTAATGTTTAAACAGTTAAACAGAGTATTCTTTAAGAGCTCATACCTTACATTATTTTTTGTCCACACGAATGAAAGGAGGTTAAATAGACAGATATGGCCGCTTTAGTTTTGAAAAACGATCTGCCACTTAATTAAACAAACATTTCACGCGAGGTATAAGATATCCTGAATAATAAGAGAAATCCTGAATAATCGTGAAATATACAGTTTATTTCAAATGATTTTTATGTACATTGTTGCATTTGACGATTTCATTGTCTATCATCATGATTGTGGCGCGGCAACCGTAGGCCCACTTGCTGCATATCCATCTCATCTTAGGTCCCTTGGATGAGTTTAGGCTGAAGTGGTGATCCCCGAGGCGGATCATGGGTTTCCCCTTTCGCGACGTGATGAATTCAGCGACCTCTATAAAGTACGGGCCAAGTTGATAATGTATTTCTAAATCGTAACAAAATAAGTCTGCAGAGTCAATCTTACATCTTATGAGAACTGGGTCTTAATATGGACAAACTACAACACAATAAAAAATAATATTGTTCATTGTTTAAAGACTAATAAATAAGAGAAATCCTGACTGACCATGGATTATACAGTTTATTTAACATTAAAATGATTTTTATGTACATTGTTTATTTTAATGATTTGATTGTCTAGCGTCATGATGGAGGCGCGGCAACCGTAGGCCCACTTGCTGCATATCCATCTCCTCTTGGGTCCCTTGGATGTGTTCAGACTGAAGTGGTAATCCCCGAGGCGGATCATGGGCTTCCCCTGTCGTGACGTGATGAATTCAGCAATGTCCTCTATAAAGTATGGGCCAAGTTGATAAAATTAAATGTATTTCTATCGTACCAAAATAAGTCTGCAGCGTCAATCTTAATCTTATGAGAACTGGGCCTTAAATATGATAAAATTTAAATAATATGAATGTTACAACACAATAAAAATCAATATGGACAACATTTAAAATCTATTTTAATATCAAAAAACAAACAATGATCGTTGTTATAGAGAAGAGAAGAAAAGAAGACTTATAAACACCAAGAGCATACTATAAAGTTGTAATATTTACAGATTTTATTCTGCCTTTACTATTTTGATAACCAAACAAGGCATACTTAGCTGGCAAATATTGGTCTCACACACATAATTTAATACAGTAAATTGCCAAATCGTAAGAAGCGTATGCAAAAAACTGATACTCTAAAACGTTCTCAAATGGCGTTCTACTTCTACAGTAACTTTCGAATGCCCATAAAAAAAAATCCATCCCACACGACTCTACGGGCTCTCTCTCTCAAATGTATAATTATTTACAAAGAGATAGAACATAATTTTAGGGCTCCTTTTTCTTCTGCATCTATCGATTCATTTGCAACGTCAGTCTATTCTGACCCCCTGACTAGGACCTTGGACTGACACCGTCTTCAGTTGACACTTGACACTAACAGCCGTGTGTCGCGATCACAGATTTACAAAGTTTGATGCTTTAACCACATCAACGGGTGCAGTTCACCATCGCCGGCGCGATCATAGGCCAATCAATGACAGGTCGGGCGGACTGTCATGGGCGCGCGACCTGTCATTGGCATCTGGAGATTGCGATGGCGATCTGCCCGCGTTGCTGTGGTTGAAGTTTCAATCATCTGACACTTTAGTGATTATGTACATTGTTATATTTAGCGATCATATTTTCAATAGTGATGATAGACCCTCGGCAGCCGTGCCGCGACCACCTGGTGCATAGCCAGCGCTGCTTTGGGCCTCCTTCTTTCTTGTTCTTGTTCAGGCTGAAGGTGTAATCTCCCAGGCGGATCATGGTCTTCCCCTGCCTCGACGTGATGAATTCGACGTTCTCTATAAAGTATGCGCCAAAAATATTGTTATCGTACCAAAATAAGTCGCACATTTATCAACCTGGAAAGGGATCGTAACCGTATCAATTTGAGGCGGTCAGTATTAATTGTATGAAACTCCATACTGCAACGTACATTTCGTCGCTTGCCTCTCTAACTGACGTATCTGTCATTTTTTTCGAAACACCATCTTAATTAATTTCGCAAGACGAATCGATCTGTCTAATTGCCTGAAAATTTTGCAAAATGTCGTATTTGTCGTAATTACGTCAGAGAGGCAAGCGACGATTTTTCCGCAGACCACACGGTAACGTAAACGCCTCGCCTCGCCATTGACAGCGCGCGAAAGGCGATACGATGTTGATACCTTTCCGAGTTGATAAGTCTACTATGAGCTTTAGTCTGTACTGTGTATCATACATACGAGCAATACGAAGGAGTGACATATTAAAGGTGACGGCCGATGTCTTAAAAAGAGGACTTTTGAATACTACTTTAAAGAGAATATTAATAAAGACAAACGTTGTATTAACAGATTTAATTTGTCTTTACTAATGCTAGTAGTAACACTAGAGTTGTTTAAAAAATTTAACTTAGCTGTTGGCTAAACTATATTTACGTGTATTTTAAAAGGGCTTCTTTTTCTTCTTTGACTTTAACACTCTTCTATTAGGTTAATGATTATGTACATTGTTACATTTAGCAATAACATTTTCAATAGTGATGATAAATCCCCGGCAGCCATTCGACCACCTAGTGCATATCCATCTCTTCTTGGGTCCTTTGATTTTGTTGTTTTTGTTCAGGCTGTAATGGTAATCCCCGAAACGGATCATGGGGTTCCCCTGACGCGACGTGATGAATTCAGCAGCGTCCTCTATAAAGTATGGACCAAGTTGAAAAATACATAATTTAACTAATTAAGACATGAGAAAAAAACTGAGGCATGTCTCGTTTCTGTCGGGTCTGTGTTTTTTTTTTGTATGGAGCGTGGCCGTTCTTCTTTTTGCCTGACATGGGCATATAAACCTCAAGAGGTTTGTAGTCATTAAAAAAGTACATAAATTAAAAATTTTATATTGTACCTGTCGCTTTAATGATTATGTACATTGTGGCATTTAGCAATAACATTTTCAACAGTCATGATAAATCCCCGGCAGCCGTTCGACCACTTGGTGCAAATCCAACGCTGCTTCGGTCCGTCTTTGTTTTTCCTTTTGTTCACACTGAAATGGTACCCTCCAAGTCGAATCATGGTGTTCCCCCTTCGCGACGTAATATATTCAGCTTCTTCTATGGTTTATGAAATAACGACAGTAACTAATGAATGAAAAATTTAAATAGAAAATAATTATCCACCACCATTAAAAAAATTAATGAATGAATCACAGCTTCGATTCTCAGTTAAGGCACGTGTCTACATGTGCCGCAGGAGGCCATGGGCAAACAACGGTTATATGGTATCTGGTTTACACAAAATAGTCATAATTGATTTACAAATACAATTTATTTTCTACACACTCTTCACACTCATACTTAAGTATGCACCGCAAAATGTCATTGAATAAAAAAAAAATATGTCATAAATTAGGAGAGAACACTCAAAATAGATAACAATGATTATTTTATTTATAAATAAGATAATAAGCGAATGTGTTGACAAACCCTTGGAACGTAGACGAGAATACCTTAATAAACACACAAACTTACATTAATTTTAAAAAATATATTAAGTGCAAAAATAAAAGAGACTAAAATTGACTAGACGACATTTTAAAACCTATAAACCTATTTGAGTCATCAAAGATAAGACATTAAAATCTAGTTTTTAGAATTCCATACAATTTTTAAGGTGGACTTTACTGGACCCACATAAGATCAATCACTCGTCTATCTGTTTAATATCTGGAGTAGTTTTTTAATACTAATAAGTCGTATGATAAATCCTACAGGCTACATTGACTAGCATTTTCCTAAGTTTAAGCATAATGGACGTACACTGTTATGCCTATGAACTAAACTATGAAGTAATAAATAACGCTTCAACCACATCACAAAATAAAGGGAAGAAGATCCAAATCTTCTGTTATCACCAGTAATAGTAGGCAGAATCTAATTACTTTCGTAAATATAGTAGCTCGTGACACCTAAAGTAGCCAAAAAGTTCGCAACATGTCTTTATAAAGCCATATTGTATTTATTAGACAACATTTGTTGATAAACTGTTTATGACTAGTGTAAAACAAGTTTACCATAAACACAGGTTTCTGAAACTTGGCCGTCCACACTTGCTCTCCACTCGTAGCGGGGAGCACGGCAACATGTATCATAAACAATGTTTCATCACCTATGTTTATGAACTGTTTACAGAGATGATGGAACATTATGAAACATAATGAAACATTGTTTATGAACAGTTTATAACCAGTGTTTATCAACAAATGTTGCCTAATGAATACATGGCTTATACATGGCTATACAATTGGAATAAGGTTGTGCTGTCAACTTTTTGAAGACTGTGAGTGACACGAACTGTTTGACGCTGACTGTACAGTTCAATGGTTATGTTCTTTTTGGTATTCGACTAGAACTTTGCCTATGGTGATGATAAGAGCGCGGCAGCCTAAGTCCCACTTGGTGCAAGTCCAGCGCTGCTTCGGACCCTGGCTTCTCTTCTTCACACGGAAGTGGTGCTCTCCAACGCGAAGCATGGTCTTCCCCCGCCGCGACATTACGAATACTGGTTTCACTGTGATAGAAAGGCCGTGCAATTATTATTTTAACGCCATTTGCATCTGATATAAGATACATAATGAAGTGTTTAAGTAAGAAAGGACGGTGTGTTAAGCATTTGACTAGAGGTTGCGGCGTCAACCAAAATTTAAACAGCCTCTGAGTGTTATAAGGAGTCAGGGACAAAATAAACAAGACAACTTGCCTCAGATCCTTTTTATATCATCATAAAATCAGCTGCTTCTGAACAGTTCAGAATCTATCATTTAACTTGACAGTTTTCATAAAGTTATAGCACAGGTTATAGGTACACTTAACACTAGAATGTACGCTTAATGCAGAGACCGCTAACAAAACACTGTTTTACGTTTTTTTTTTATTACTCACAATTTCTCCATGTAAATAAACGTAATAAAATCGGACAATAACATTATCCACAGTATTAATACAGGCACGGCAACTTTTACACGCTTTAGTGCACTTCCACCGTCGCTTCAACCCTCTACACATATTCTTGACCAAGCTGTAATGGCGGTCACCAAGGCGGATCATGGGATTTCCCTGCCGCGAGGTTATGAAGTTCGCACAACTTCGCCCCATATGGCAGTCACGGAAATTGACCCGAAGGGTCAAGATCAAAATATTCGGGTCCAACGTTAAATCCGTTCTGCTCTATGGGTGTGAAACGTGGAAGGTCACCAAGGTTATCTCGCACCAGCTGCAGTTCTTCATCAACCGCTGCCTTCGCCGAATTCTCGGCATATACTGGCCCGAGAAAATCTCCAACGTCGAGCTATTGGAACGCGGCCACGAAATTCCGATCGACCAGCAGATCAAGCGCCGCAAGTGGAACTGGATTGGCCACACTCTCCGAAGGGACCCCGATCACATCCCTAAGCAGGCTCTGGATTGGAATCCCCAAGGAAAACGCAAACGTGGTCGACCCAGGCAAACTTGGCGGCGCACTGTAGCGGACGAGGCGAAGAAGATCGGCTAGACCTGGAGCGAGATCAAGCGAGAAGCTCAAGACCGAACGAGATGGAGGACTGTTGTGGACGCCCTCTGCCCAATCTAGGGGACATAAGACCATAAGTCAAGAGGTTATGAAGTATCTATCATTTCATAATATGTCAGTTTTCATGAAGTTATAGGTACTTATTACAAGCATGTACATATATGATTCTTTAGAATTCAGCAGAAACGTAAACAAATATGGCCAACTGACATAAAATCATTTTAATCTGTGCACTAGTGAGGTGACAAAAATATTTTTGCGTTGTATAAGCCATTTGTCGAGGAAGGCTTTATAGGTTATATTATAACATCACCCTACAGCCAATTGGGGGCACAGCTAGTAAACCAATAAAATCTTTAAAATAAAAAGTATGTTTATTGCATATTACGTGTAATGTGTATGTACATCGTTACTTTTAGCAATAACACTGTCTACAGTCACGAGAAATGCGCGGCACCCGGTGTAACTCTTGGTGCAACACCACCGTTGCTTCGACCCTTTACTCTGCTTCTTGACCAAGCTGTAGTGGTGGACACCAAGACGGATCATGGGATTTCCCTGCCGAGATGTTATAAATTCGGCGTCACCTAAAATAAAAAATGGACTTAAATGTTATGAAGGCAGGTAATGATATGTCACTGATGAAATAAGGCCAGTAAATCAATACTAATATCAATTAATATTATAAACTGAAGAATTTGTTTGGTTAGTTGAACGCGCTAATCTCAGGAACTACTGGTCCGATTCGAAAAATCAGTTTTGTGTTGGATAAACCATTTATCGAGGAAGGGTTTAGGTTTATAACATCACCTTACAGTCAATTGGGGTGGAGCAGTAAAGAAAAATGTTGCGAAAACGGGAAATATTATTCAAACTATAGTAAGTACAAAGTCGCGGGCACAGCTAGTAAACCAATAAACCTTAAATATAAAAAGTATGTTTATTGCATATTACGTGTAATGTGTATGTACGTCGTTACTTTTAGCAATAACACTGTCTACAGTCACGAGAAATGCGCGGCGGTGCAACACCACCGTTGCTTCGACCCTTTACACAGCCTCTTGACCAAGCTGTAGTGGTGGTCACCAAGGCGGATCATGGGATTTCCCTGCCGCGAGATTATGAATTCAGGGTCACCTAAAGCAAAAAATTACCAGTACATGTACATTTACATAGGTACATTCAAAAGTTAGTACCTAGCTATGTAGTCTGCATCAAATAGTTCGTTACACCCAAAGTGGGCAAAAAACATTTTTAGCCACTTTGGTCACGAACTGTTTGAAGGATATCCCAAACCAAAATAGGTATTAGGGTGGTCCTTATTCCTACGAAAAAAAATTTTTTTCTTATATTTTGCGGGGCACCACGTAATTTGAATATATACCATATGAAAGTCTTTCATTCTTTTTTTTTTTAATTTTTAAAAGACATTTAGGGGTCGCTACCAAGGTTTGAATTTTAAGTAAAAACACAAAATCTGTATTTGTTAGATTAATTTATTTTTAGTCGAAGCCAAATAAAAACATTACTAAATTATTGTTGTTGCTATGAACTAAGATATTATGTACAATGTACATATTTGAATCAATAATTTTTAAGATATGCGAGTTTACTTGTTAGTATCTCGACGCGTCGGTACCATGGTCGGTACAGAAGAGGGGTTGAGGGGAGAAGGGGACAAGAAGCGATTGTCTATTCTATCTATGCGATGTTCATTTGCACCTAAAATGTGATATAAACACTTAAATAAAACATTTATGAAACCATGATTTAAGATCTTCAAAGCTTTTTGTAAATATTTTGACAGCTGGTAGCGACCTCTAAATCTTAACCAAAAAAAAAACAAAAAAGCTAATTTCATATTTAGAGGTATATAATCGAATGAGAAAGTGCCCCGGGGAGAATTCAGAAGTCGAAAAATAAGGACCACCCTAATAGGTATTGCTGTCTTCTATACTGTATCTTACTGTAGACCAGTAAATAAGTATGTTTGTATGTAAATAAACATGTTTTGATATTGTGCCAGTTAATAAAAGTAAAATGCTATTTTAAAAAAATCAATAATGTGTATGTACATTGTTACATTTAGCGATAATACTGTCTACTGTCACAAGAAAAGCGCGACACCCGATGGAATTCTTGGTGCATATCCACCGTTGCTTGGAGCCTTTGGAGTGCCTCTTCATCATGCTAAAATGGTGGTGGCCAAGTCGGATCATATTGTTACCCTGACGCGAGATTATGAATTCGGCATCGGCTGGAAAAATTAATAATTTGTTGTGGTAACACAATATTATGTTGAGGTGAGTCCCGCACAACTGAGAATTGCGATTTTATTTAGCATTGGACGACATGACGTGGCTGAAATGATGATGATGATGGAATGTCAAGAATAATGATTACTTAACAATGCGACTAGAGCGAGGAGGAAACACTCAGCTATCTGAATTAGAGACACCTTTATACGAAAGCAAAATAAAAATATATGGTCCACAGATTTTATTATTACAACTTATAAATAACTTAAAGTAATATAACAAAAACAATTGTACAGGAATAATTAGAATAAATACATATGACATTTCAATAGGTTTAAAGCCTATAAAAACTATAGCAAAATATTATACGATACATACTTACAAATCAGGCATACGAAAAGAAACACTAGTTAATAATATCGATACACTGATCACCATTTTCAGTAACAAGTTTTGTGACACTTGTACCTAATCTACTTTGCTAGTATTTTTTGCTTTCATTTATTGTTAAGTCAATTCAAAATCATTTGGTAAAGTTATTTTGAACTAGAGGCGCAGTGTAATATGTTGAAGAATATTTATATTTATTTATATAGATGTACATGTTTATGTACATTTACACATTTGGCGATAACATTGTCTATGGTCACGATGTGGGCACGACACCCTGCGTACCGCTTAGTGCACATCCACCTTTGCTTTGAACCTTCGACTTTTTTAGACAGGCTGAAGTGGTGTTCGCCGAGGCGGATCATGGTGTTGCCCCGTCGGGAAGTTATAAATTCAGCTTCAACCAGAACAAAAACGTTAAATAAGTAATAGAGCAGAGAAACACGACATGGAATTAACAAACAATGTGTAGGTGTTAATACGTAACGATGTTATGAATTAATCATATTATGCCGTCTTGGATACTTAACATACAAAATATCACCATGTATTGAATGCAATGGTGGTTGCCAATACGAATCATAGGATTACGATTTTTTCAGCAAGATGTTATAAAATCAATATCTTCTAAAGCATGTAAAAGTACATGACGATATGTGATAAACTAAATTTCACGCGAGTGAAGACGCTGGCAAAATTTAGTATTAAAATAAATAACGGTAGAAGCCTTAAGAAGTATGTTTATTCGAAAAATATACCAAAATTTTACACAACACTAGAAGTGTTGATTATAATGTTGATGTTCATTTTTGTATCTGGCGATAACACCGTCAATGGTCACGAGGAAGGCGCGACACCCTGCATACCGCTTAGTGCATATCCACCGTTTCTTCGGCCCTTCGCCTTTAGTAAGGCTGAAGTGGAATTCGCCAAGGCGGATCATGGTATTACCCTGTCGCGAAGTTATAAATTCAGCTTCAACTAGAACAAGAACGTTAAATAATTAATGGAGCAGAGAAACACGACAAAAAATAAACAAACAGTGTAAGTGCATACATAACGAATGAATTCCATTCTGGCCCAAAATGTCGCATTAACTGCACATAAATTAATTATTTAGTGCAGCATAAAAAACAAAACTTAGTTTTTTATTAACAACATATTAACACTAATCAAATGCCGTCTTGAATACTTAAAATACAAAATATCGCCATGTATTGACTGCAATGGTGGTTGCCAATATGAATCATAGGATTAGGATTTCCTCAGCAAGACTAGATGGTTTAAAATCAATGTCTTCTAAAACATGTTTTTATGGGACAAATGGTAAATGATTACCATCGCCCATAGAAGATACCCGCAGGCCCGGGGGCGTTACGTACGAGTACGTTGCCGTCCTTTTTGTAAAAGTTGATTATTATTTAAAAGAATCTGTATGAGTCAAACATCTTAGAATAAATAACTGTAGTAATTGGCGCCATAAGAAACATTTATTAGAAAATTATACGAACATTTTACACAATACTATAATTTTTGATGTTTATGTACATTTTTACGTTTGGCGATAACACCGTCAATGGTCACGAGGAAGGCGCGACACCCTGCATACCGCTTAGTGCATATCCACCGTTTCTTCGGTCCTTCGCCTTTAGTAAGGCTGAAGTGGTATCCACCGAGGCGGATCATGGTGTTACCCCGTCGCGAAGTTATAAATTCAGCTTCATCTACAACATAATGTTAAATAACAGAGCATGGGTATCAATGTGAAGGTGCAATAACATAATGGCTTAAAAAAACTTAGTTTTTCATCAGCTTATCACTAATCAAATGTCATCTTGGATTCTTATTGATTTATTAAATATTTTTATTTGCTTGAACACAATATACATTGGTGATGTTGTGAAATAATAATTAAATAACTTTTCCAACTTAGCCATGTAACAAAATAAAAACAATTAATAATGTCAAATATTGACTCAAGCAAGCCACATCTAAGACAACAAATAAATCAGTCACAGAAAAAAATTCATATAATTATGTCAAATTGAGGAAGAAATTTACATAATTATTATAGGTCATACACAAATAAATATAGTTCTTAGATACGAAAGTCCAGTACGCGGAATACGCAATATGTACATGTATATGATATAGTGAAAAACATTAAACATTTTTAATTTCAACGAATGGCGCATAGTGGAAATTGATCGTGACGAACGCACTTCGGTTAGTTTCGCCGTGGGTCGCCCATACTTCGGTTCGCGCTTCGTCTCGGTCAATTTCCCGCATAGTGTACTTGCGCCAAAAGATTATTATTCATAGTAGTACATTGATGAACATTATTATTACATTTAATGACATGTCGGTCTATGGTGATGATAGAGGCACGACACCCGCCGTTTTTCTTCGTGCAAACCCAGCGCGTCCTTAGAGTCTTCGGACATCTTGCATCTTTGGCCTGGCTGAAGTGGTGGTTGCCAATACGAATCATGGGATTCCCACGGCAAGATGTTATAAATTCAATTGCTTCTGAAACAAAAAGTTCAGTACCAATTAAAAAAGTTGTATGAGTCAAAGCGAGATCACGCTATAAATAAAAAAAAAATCGCAAATAAAAGAGTTTTCAAAACATTCACTTGTATTTTCATAGTCAAATAAATAGACAGGTTTTCAGAAAAACACATTTTTAATTACGACTGGTATGTCGATAAACATTGTTATAATTGGCAATGACGTCTCCAATGCAGTATTGAGAGGATTACATTTACAAAAATACAAAATAAATGTTTCACTTAGAGTAGGCGCACACCGTTGATTTTTAGTTGGCCGATAGTTGTGCCCGATTTTAAATTGTATGAAGAATCGGCCAAATCGAATCGGCGTAGTGTGCGCACTGCCATACATGCCCATACTGATCAACTGCCCGACTAAACTATCGGCCGACGAAAAATCAACGGTGTGCGCCTACTCTTACCTAATTTCTTTTTCTCCTTATTTTTTTGATTCCCCTTTTAAGCAATTACGGATAATTATTATTTGCTTGTGAATTATTATTTACATGTTGTGAATTCCTACTTTCTAAATCATATTTAGAAAGTAGTTTTAATTTACATAGTGAATTACAATACATAAGTAAATTAGGTTAAAAATTCAGTTTGAATTTTGTCTCCAATTTTACAGCCATCTTTCAATAATGGTTGTGCTCGTTATTTGCGAGTACTACAGTTTCATTCACAGTGAAAAAATATGCTCTGCAACCCGTTGATAATTTAGTGCACACCCATCTGATCTTGGGCCCTCTGTACCAAGTTTGTTTGTTGAACCGGAACTTGCCGCATTGCAGAACCGGGTTCCCGAATCGTGACGTAGTAAAAATAATGTCGTTATCTGCAACAAATTACTAAAGATGGTTTAAACTAAACATTCTAAAACATCTACAAGACCGCTGGCTTACTTCAATTGATGAAAAAACTATGAGTATTTTTAATTAAATGACACAAAGAAGTATACGAGTACATGTCTTATCAATGTAATACATGACAAATAAGTAGGTATGTCTAAAACAATGGTGTGTAAAGCAGCTTAAATAAAATTGCTGAGACCATAATAATTACAACCGTCTTTCAATCATGGCTGTGTTTATTATTTGCGGTAACTATAGTTTCATTCACAGTGAAAATAAATGCTTTGCAACCCGTTGCTACTTTAGTGCACACCCATCTGACCTTTGGCCCTCTGTAACGAGTCTGTTTGTTGAACCGGAACTTGCCGTATTTCAAAACCGGGTTCCCGAATCGAGACAAAGTAAAAACTACGTGGTTATCTGGAACATTAGATAACTTTAAAATACAAATTATAAGACATCGACAAGTACTTACTATTAATAAAAAACGATATATTTAATTTAAAAAATGTCTTAATTTATTTATAGGTAAACTCGCTCACTCGTAACACAGGCATGTTTAGCTTAGTAGGTACTAGGGGCTAACGAGATTATTAGTAATTTGTGTTTTGCACAAATTACTTATATTCTTAAAAAATAAAAATAAGGTAAACACCGCATGCAATATATTAGTGTAATATCAGTTATAACTAGACAAGTAGGCAATTATAAATTGGAAAGAAAAAAAAGTTACAGAAATGGTCCGATACAGATAATTTATGATAAAAAGGTAAAAGTAAAAAGAGGGTAAAATGTAAAAAATGCTAGAACACATTTACAGACTACATCCTTGCATTTTCAAACGCTAACTTTCAATCAATCATGGTTGTGCTTGTTATTTGCGGAAACTATGGTTTCATTCACAGTGAAAATAATTGCTTTGCAACCAGTTGCTACTTTAGTGCACACCCATCTGACCTTCGGCCCTCTGTACCGTGCGTTCTTGTTAAACCGGAACTTGCCGCATTGCAGAACCGGGTTCCCAAATCGTGACGTAGTGAAAATAATGTCGTTATCTGCAACAAATTACTAAAGATGATTCAAACTAGAAATTTTAAAACATCTACAAGACCGCTGGCTTACTGCAATTAATTTAAAAAAAAACTCTTTTTAGTTAATTAATACAAAGAAGTATAAGTCTTATCAATGTAATACATCTAAAAACATTGCATATATCCTTGCATTTCCAAACGCTATCTTTCAATCATGGCTGTGCATATTATTTGCGGTAACTATAGTTTCATTCACAGTGTAAATAAATGCTTTGCAACCCGTTGCTATTTTAGTGCACACCCATCTGGCCCTCGGCCCTCTGTACCGAGCCCTTTTGTTGAACCGGAACTTGCCGCATTGCAGAACCGGGTTCCCGAATCGTGACGTAGTGAAAATAATTTCGTTATCTGCAATAAATTACCAATGGACAGTTTAAACTAGAAATTATAAAGCATCTACAAACCCCCGAGTACCTACTTAAAATTATAAACAAACACATTTTTATGACAAACAAACAACTATAAATGTCGTGACAATATAATATATGACAAAATACAATGATGTGTAAAGAAGCTTAATATAAAATACATAGCTAAGACTGAGACCATATACCTATCCGGTGAAAGAAAACCGAAAAGACTGATAGTAACCAGAAACAATGTTTTAAGTCAAGTTTAAATAGATTTTTAGACACACTACAAACTCTACATAGATATTCTTGTAGAAAAAGAGAAGCAAATAATAAAGGCTTTTCCAATAAGGGGTATTATAAATCATTGATCAGTATTCTTACAAAACCACGACTTATAAGGACTCGTTCCGTTTTTTGCAGGAACTGTTTTTCTTTTTCAAGATTCCGTTTAATAGTTTACGTATTTTAATATTAACATTCACACGAACATCCCATTTGCAGGGTCCCGCAAAAAACCGATCCATTCAAACTTCAAACACGCTGGTGTGTTCAACGATAATCTAGTTTTGCGGGATCCATTACAGGGTCCAGCGAATCTGGATTGCAGTAGGAAAGGGCCCTTAGGGTTCATGGTTATGACAACCGGCTATCTTTATAATAGTTTCTTCAAAGGTGATGATCCTCGCACGGCACCCCTTGCTCGCCACCCTGTTGCACTGCCATCTTATTTTAGGCCCTGGAGCATTCTTCTGTATTCTGCAAAATTTGTATGGGCCATATCGAAGCAGTGGATTCCCAAACATCGATGTTGTAAATTCAATTTCGACTTCTGCAATTGATTAACATCAACAATTTTATTTATCACTTCTACAATTTATTCTAATTACGCATAAAATATAGGAACTAGAAACTAGGCATTGATTTAACATCTTCAATTTACTTTTTATAAATACCAGATCTTTATGATAAAAATAAAACAACAATTAAAGAACAGAATAAAAATAACCTTGTTTATTATTATTGTGGATCAAAAAATTAAGAAGTTTCGTCTTTGATTCCACCTTCTTGGTGTTGCCTAAACACACAATATCCGTTCAGCCAATTTTTTCCTTTGTTTTCTACTGAATTTCGATGCCTGTTATACTTAGTCCACTTTAGTGTGAATTGTCGTCTAAAACTTGCCAATTCTTTCTTTAACTTCGGCAGCAAATCATCAGGACAATTAGTTTCACGAGCGACAAAATTGATCAGTGTGCCTACCATGAGTTTACGTTAGGTGTGCTCGCTAGCGACTGCGTAAAAAAATGACATTTAAATGTATGACATATTGTGCAGCGCCCCTAGCGGCTACTTTCAAGAAATAAAATCTTCATATAATTTTTTGACGTATTCGCTAGCGAGCTCACCTAACGTAAACTCATGGTAGGCACACAGTTCTTGAAATTAGCTGTTCATAAATTTTAATTTGCTTGTGAATATTATCTCACACATCTTCTTTCGAGTAATGGCACACCATTGGTGTTGGTACTTGTACATATTTTCACCTTTAATAAAACAAATACTGCCATAGATTGATTTTCAATTCAATCCTGAAGGTTTCCATAACGCATAGAGGCGCGGGAGATGTCCAAGGATATTTATTTATTATTATTTATTTATTTATAGCTACATTCAATACTACATTTGAAAGGAGTTTGCGGGTTTAGGAAAAAAAATCCATATAATTTTAGTAGGTTCGTGTTATGTATATAAGAAAAAACTAAAAATGCGATACAAATAATACTTTTTTGGCTCTATTTGTTAATGTAGATTGTATTGTTAATGGTTATATTATTTCATTATTTGTGACTATGGCCATGATTTATACTGATGATCTTATCAAATAGCGTAGTGACGTATGCCTTGCACCCAGAAGCGATCCTGGTGCACACCCATCTGACCTTAGGCCCCTTGTATTGAGAGTGCCGATTATACCTGTGCATGCCCATTTGTAGGACAGGCTTCCCGAATTTGGATGTCGTGAAATAAGGCAAATTTTCTGGAAATAAACATGTAAAATAGTATAATCGGCGATTACAAGGACTAGATATAATAAATAACTCTTGACAATAATTGCTTTGTTTTTTGAATTAGTTAGATAGCTAAAAAAATAGACATTATTTATTAGTATAGAGTCTACTGAAATTACTAAAGTCAATAAGGGGTATCATGACACACAGGAATAAACTAGGTACAATTAAAACGTAGAATATTTTGATTTTAGATCGATAAATACATACAAATAACATCCACTACTGAACATAAGCGCCAATGATTTCCTGATTTGGGCGGTTGGTAGCTGTCTTCATCCATCGCCTTTCTGCTATCTTAATAAGAGTGATCAATAGCTTTAGCAGTGATTGTGTGGATTACAGATCTGAATAATCTTGTTATCGAAAGTGAGGACTGTGGCCTTGCAGCCTGTCGAGGTCCTGGTGCAGACCCAGCGCACACGAGCGGAGTTACACTTGTGGTAGCGGTTGAACCTCCGACCGCCGATCAGGAGGACCGGCTTGCCATACCTTGACGTGGTGAATACTATTTCATCTGGAAAATAATAAAATAAACGTTAGATGCACTTTATTGTACACCGCACAAAAGAGAAAGGTAAAAGAATGCCGTTTCTCTTCGAAAGCGATCGCTTTTTGACAACCCAGGGAAACGCTAAAAGATAAGGAGACATATAGAGTGCCCCATAAGGGCTACCTTTTTTTTATATATTTGACGTTCATAAGTGCCACTTGTGGTCTAAACGGAATAAATATTTTTGAGTTTTTTTAACGACAGTTTGTATTTATTTACGAAATCTAATTGCGGCACAAAAAAAGTCATCCCTAAAGTTTAAATTAAAGGTAAATTAAATTATTGCAAATAAAATGATACATTAAACTAATGCAAAAGCAAAAAGAACAGACATAAAAGGACAGCGGGGAATTGAAATAAAGAAAGAAAGATACATTTATTACAATGGACATCACACAAATACAGGCAATTACATAGACATGACAGTGGCACATAATAATAAAAGAAGAAAAAATAAAAACAAGAGTAAACTGAGCAGTGCCACCCATTCACCAACAACCAATTCAAATGCCTACTGCAACGGGACCCCACTCAGCATATGCCGTGGCCCACGGTGACGAAGGCCACGGCGCTGGTTTTCAGTGTGCCCCATGCCGAGTGAGGGTCACGGACCATTGGTAAAATAAAAAAAAAAAAAAAATTGCATTCACATATAACATCAACTGGAGTTTATAGGTTATCCAATGAATAAAACGCCTGAAATTACATACTTTAAAGCTTTATTTTTTTCGTCTTGCTTTAGCTCTTGTTATTAGAGTTAAACAGTTAACCAGATTATGGAGTAACAATTTAATCTGGTCTTTCTGTCGCAACGAATAGTTCATGAAATTCAAATCTCGCTAACTTTGTTCTCCATAAAAATTTCTTTTAGTTGCCTCTCTTTTAAAGTCCGATGCCTATCTTATTCTTCATTCGTGATTATGATTGCCTTTTACATTGATAACGTTATTATGCACGGTGATGACGGTCACTTTACACCCATTGCTGGTTCTGGTGCAGACCCATCGAGTCCTGTCCCGCCAGCGGCCCTGCCGGTGGTACCTGTTGTAGCTGTGGCCGGCGAACATTAGCTTGGGCTTGCCATATCTTGACGTAGTAAATACGATACCTATAATGGAAAAAGTAGGGGACATTTTTGCATAGTCTGTAAGAAGCTATGTGTCGTCACATTGAGCAGTACGTCTCAGATTGTTGTCAGAGGCACTAGTCATTTGTAATAGTAATAACTTATAGTCATTTGTAGGTGTAATAGAAACTCAATGGTTTTTCTGGTTTTGATTATTTTAATTGCAATGTCCGAATTGGCTTCCAAAAATGCTAAGAATACTATAGAATTGAAGGAGATTCTACTAATTGACATCGCCGTGCGAACCCAGGCCGGTTCGTCGTCAGACCGTGTAGAATACAGCTAGTCAACACATGCACTTACAGTACCGGACCGGATAGAAACCCTTGGACTTCATATTGTAACACGACCTCAATGATTATGCGGCTTCTGCTTGACTATCACGTTGTCAACGGTCACCAGGGTGGCAGAGCAGCCGGAGTGGACTTTCACACAGATCCAGCGGGCTCGGGGACCCTGGCTCCCGCTCCACATGTTGAACCGGTACCGTCCTATTTGGATCACAGGACGCCCGGTGCGGGACTCTAAGAATATCGCGTCTGAAATACATGTAAGAGTACGTAAAGGTGTAAATTAAGATGGGCCGAATAAAGGCGGACGGACGACCTCATAAAGGTAGCAGGAAGGCGCTGGATGCAGGCCGCAGCCGCCACCAACCGGCCAATATCGAATTCTTTGGGGGAGGCCTATGTTCAGCAGTAACATATGTCTGGCTGAAATGATGACGATGATGATGACGATGAACGCCAAATATAGATATTGTTGTAAGTGATAAAGTTAGCTGCACATGAAAGATTCCCAATAGCTCCAATATTCATAAGTATTTTATAGTTTGACGTGCTGTCCAAATAAAATTACTTTTGTTATGGAGTGGACTGTGTGGAAGTCGAGGAATGTACCAATGAAAACCAAGAGCGTTGATCTGTAGAATCATATAATAGCATAGAAAAGTAACAACAAAGTAAATAAGGACGTTGCAGTTACATACACCTAAATATTTTTATTAAAAAATATATCAACAACATTCAACTGTATTATTACTTAACTTTGTATGTCTTTGATTAATTAACATTTAAAAAACCTAAACCTAACGTAAATCATTTACTGTTGTATGATTGTATGATTTGGCGATATGAAACTTACGAATGTTCAGACCTCAATTACAGATTTTTTTAATTTCATATTAAATATTAGTAAGTAAATATTACGCAAGAACAGTAGCCACTGCATCTCAGATTTCGAACAAAATTATCAACCATTTTATCAACCTCTAACAGAAAATCAACTAATCTCAACATTAAAAAGATCTAGCCCGGGAGCCGACAACGAATATAAATAAACGCTTTATCTAGCATTTTTATAAAATGTCTGTAAGAATAGGTCAAAGTTCAGTCATGGCTATGTTCGTTTTCGTATTTAACGATGACGTCATCGACGGTGATGAGTTTGGCTCGGCACTGCTTGTACCGCTCCTTCACGCAATACCAGCGCGCCCGCGGGCCTTTAGGGCAGTCCTTTCTATTATACCGGTGATGACCTATCTGAATTACCGGTTTTCCGCACCGAGACACGGAAAATATGGGACCTGGAAAAACGAAACACCATTCTTGGATCTAGGCGAGGAATAAAAATAATAACGTATTTAGAGTAGAGTTAGCAGAGTCACAATGATTAAAATTACAAAACTCATGCAAATTTTCAAATTTTTTATAATAGTTTTTACTATCAATGCACAAAATTGTTCAAACATTCTTCGAATGTATCTTCGCGCGGCTTTTGTCTTGTTTTTTGTCGCATGACCATCTAGCTCGTGGACATTTGCAAGACGTCTTTTTAATAAAAAGTACTTAGTATTTGCCGATTTGAATCATCTGCAAAATATTAAAGCGAAATGGACCTAAAAATACCTACACAATTTTCGAATTAAAATGTATGATTTAATAACATAGTGCTCCTTTATGGGTCATTCCATAAAAATCTNTAAGTATTTTTATAACATACGAGTTTGGATTTTAATTTTAACTTTTATTTATCGTACTAATATGTTTTTAATTTTTTGGAATGTCATGTTTGTAACCAATTAATTTTATTTAAAAACGCATTTGTGCCACGAACAATTGAACAACGACCGAGTTTTAATAGTGATTTAGTGATTATGTTCGTTTTCGTATTTAATGATGACGTCATCGATAGTGATAAGCTTGGCTCGGCACTGGTTGGAGCGCTCCTTAACGCAATGCCAGCGAGCCCGCGGGCCTTTAGGGCGGTCCTTTTTATTATACCGGTACCGACCGATTTCAATCACTGGTTTTCCGCACCGTGACACGCCGTAAATAACGGTATCTGGAAAAAGCAAGCATCATAAAAGTTTGATCTAAGCAAAGCATAAAAATAAAAGATGATTGATTGATTGACATTTTGAGATGCAAAGGTTGAAATTAGAAAATTCACGAAAACGTTTAAATTTTAATGGTTATGAACATTATTAATAGAGATAATTGTATCATTTATCGTGAGTATCTTCGCGGAGCAATTGCGATGAGTTCTGGTGCACACCCACCTCGCCCGTGGACCCTTGCAATCACTCTTTTTATTAAACCGGTATTTGCCGATTTCGATCACCGGTTTTCCAAACCGGGAAGTAGTGAATCTGGGCTCTGCGGAATATAGACAGTTCTTAAAATATTCCTGATACGTATCAAAGCGAGATTGGTATAGAAATTGATATGTATTTACATTCCTTTTTTTTAACATATGACACAGTCCTAAATTATGACGTCATTTCATTTCTATTAAAACTGTCAACAGGAAGAGATAAACGAAATTTTATTTTATTTTTTTATTTAACAATTTATGATGCCGGTCCTCAGTTACGAAAGGCCTGTGAGAGTAAAAACATAACATACATATAACGTATGTAATTGCAATATAAATTGACTTACTACGACTACTGTTCACCGTGATGATCCGAGCCTTGCAGCGAAACTGGGGTTCCCACACAGCCATCCGGACCGAGGGCCTTTATTGCCCTTGTGGGCAATAAAGTAATCCGATCATAATCACTGGTTTCCCAAAGGAAATACAGAGATATTTCTTTGATCACGGATCGAAAAAAAGGATGTATAATTTAAAACTGCTGCCATTGAAAAGATAATGATGGTGATATTGAATTCAATAAATTGTATTATTTCATACCATAAATAAATACTACAAAATAGATAATAATCAACAAATGTATTACTTTACATATAAAAATTCAATAAAGCTTTACGATTACCACTCGACAATAAAACTAGCATGTCAAGTTCGACAATCAGCCCGATAAGAAAGATCATGAAGTACATTTGAACGATTTAACGAATTGCTCTACCCGACGTAAGTACGTCTAATAGTGTAGATTGCTCCAGTTTTCCAGAAGTTTTCCAACGTACCTAAGCGCAGATGTTTAGTAGTGTAGCGTACCCTGTATCAAAATAGGTACTGTGAAAGTGAGTAAATCCATCTTAAGTGGCCAAAAAAGGCACAGTGGCCACAAAAGGGTTGCCGTCTCTAAAATTTGGCAACTAGGACAAGACGCGGTAAAATTCGGGATTTTAGAGCTCAGAACCCGAACATGTCAACATGTTTTTTTAAACTTAGTAACATTACCCGGCACCGGCCTAAGACTACTAATATTTTAAACCGGGACTATAAATGAAACCCCGGTCGGACGCACCCAAGACGCCCTCTAAACTAGGACAAATCCGGGAAAACCTGGACGGATGGCAACGCTAGTCACAAACAGTGTCTCTATCCGCTATCCTATCATTGATATGATCGGTCGGCGGTAGCTTA